ACTGTGCACTTCGGACAAAGAGTGTTGGTAAGCTCATACACATATCAGAATTTGTCCTCCTTCCAACTGGCCAACTCATCCTACCCATTGAAAATGTCCAAGAGTTTTGGAATAGGTCTGTGACTGTGCTCCTATGGCAATAATAGGAAGAACACTGATATGCGCTAGGTGTTAGATATGGTCACTGATGGAGTTCTCCTATATAAGGAAGAGACTCTGACCTGATATGCGCTAGGTGTTAGATATGGTCACTGATGGAGCTCTCCTATATAAGGAAGAGACTCTGACCTACAACAGTAATAGAGAACATAACCACAACAAATAAGAAATGAGTAAATGATTCTTCTATGATAAGTTAACAATATAAATAGATAAGTTTATTAATTACCTGATATGCGCTAGGTGTTAGATATGGTCACTGATGGAGCTCTCCTATATAAGGAAGAGACTCTGACCTACAACAGTAATAGAGAACATAACCACAACAAATAAGAAATGAGTAAATGATTCTTCTATGATAAGTTAACAATATAAATACCTATGGTGTAAAAGAATAGTTGTGAAAAGCACACGAGTGAGCTAATGATCTGAGTGAAAGAAACAGCTACAACATGATTAAATGTATTAGTTTAACTTATACAATGATATGGATGAGATAGTATAATGAAATTGATTTATTGCTTACGTTTCTCTTTCCAAAGATAAGGAAAGAGAAACGTAACATTGATGAGGACTAAAAGACTATAAATACGTTTAATAATATTGACGTCATCACACCATTTCGTCATAATCTTAACAGCACAGTCTGACTTCAAAAACAAAAAGCCTTGCTTCAAAAGGTAATTGAGGAAGCACGTCATATCTGCAAGTTTCTTCCTAAATTTCATTGTGAATTGAACCCGATTGAGCTTCTTTGGTGTGGCATCAAACCATGTAAGTTAATCCTTTTCATCTCTTTCAACACTGGCTGATACACATTGATTTTGCTTCAGGCTACCAAGAACACGGCTTTGAGTACTCTAACCTTCAAGAAGCAAAGGAAGAGTTTGAAACAATCAGGAAAACATATCCCCTTGTAACAATCCGATGTTTTTTTCGCAAAATCGATGCAGCAATGAGGCACCTCTTGTAAGTGAGCCTCATCTCCCCTGATCCGTAGTTTTTACTTATGTTTAGCGATCTCATTGCTCATAGGGAGGATATGAAAGCACAACCTGGTCCTAACCCAAATGTCCAGCTATACAAGTTACATTGAAACGTTGCTTGGAACTCTACAACCAATGCTGACTTCAATCAATAATGGTTTTTCATTTTTCCTTATAGTTTTTTCAAATATTGACTTATTACTGTAGTCTTTTTCCTCGCTTATGGAGAATGTTGCAAAGGATTAGGAACTGTATCGTCTGATATTTTTTCTCAAAAATCTAAGGGCCCGTTCGGCTGCGTTTCCCAAAAAGTGTTACACAAAAACACTTTTTTGATCTGCCCCTTTTTTGAGGGGCAGATTGAAAAAGTGTAATTTGGTTATACGATTTACCAAACAGTCGTCCAAAACAGCTATCAAAAGATTGCCACAATCATGATTGGACTTGACAAAGTTCAATCAAGAGAGGGGTGAAAAGTGTTTTTTGTCTGAAAAACAGCCTCGTTCAGATCAGTTGAATATATCGTGATGTATGATTCGATATATTGATCATATATTGTTGCCAAACATCACCTCTTTTTTGAAACTCATAAAAGTTTTTGAATGAAAAAGGCTTTTTAGATTTGGTGATCTATAACATGTTATAGAGTTTTACAAGTGTAGCCAAACGGGCCCTAACCAATGCCGACCTCGATCAATCACTTTTTTCCCCTTTTTTTATAACTTTCTCAATTTTCAACTCATCACTTTGATTTTTGCTCTCACTATTGGAGAAGGTCCAAAAATACCAGAAATTGTCTGTTTTCAATTTTTTGCTCATAAATTACATTCTATGAAATAATACTACTATGTTGTAAAAATCATGAAAATTTGTAAGCCCTCAAATTGACTCGGCAAAAACAATTTCTCATAGCTTCCAATGGGAGGATTCCAAATCTGTGCTCAGATTCCAATTTGGATCAAAATTGTGACATTGATAAGCTTTTTGGTCAAAATACTTGATTTCACGGTTTTAGACACTAGCCACTATAGGCGCTCAAATATTATACCTACATTGGAAAATGGGAATGTAGGTGCTCAAAAATCACGCCTACATCCTTATATTGAGATGTATGCATAATTTTCAAGTGCCTACATGTCATATTTGACATGTAGGTGCTCACAAATGACACCTACATTTGAAATTTGTGATGTAGGCATAATTGTTGAGCGCCTACATTATGTAGAAATAATCAAATGCCACCTGCATTTCATTTTTCAAATGTAGGCGTAACCAAATGACACCTACATAGTAATACCAACATGTAGGCATCATTTTTGATGGCTTTGAGTGCCTACATCCTCAATGTAGGTGCTTTTTGGTGGGAAACACCCATGTAGGGGCTGTTTTGGCAGTGCCTACATGGTTATTTTGCGGGCTGCAAGTAGCAACGGCCAAAAAACCACACCCAGCACGCCAAGTGACGCCTAGCCGCAAAAAAATATAGAAAAACATGTGTCGGCACACCCACTACCTGACAGCTGGGAGTGACCAGTCGAGTGACCGCCTGTCCGCATTTTGATATTGAACACCTTTACTTGGACCCCACAGACAGCAGGGGCAGCAGACAGTTGCTGCCTTGTGGTGTTTGATTTACTGGCAGGTTTTGAGTCATGTTGTGGGCACGTCCTTTTTGAAAAGTGCACGCCCAGGCGCAAAAAAGCTCCATTGGACTGGCCCGGGCGCCACTGGGGCGTGTCAGGTGCGCCCTTTGCCCCCCAAAAAGTAGCAAAAAAGTGAAAAATCTTCTACATCAGCAGAGACCAGTATTTATGGCGTTCAAACCTGTGCAAGAAATTTGCAATTTTTGTGAGAGTTCTGTGCAAGTTCTTTTAACATCTTGCATAGAACTTGCACGGAACTTGCAGATTTAGACTTATGTATGTTAACCTAGGCTTCCCTGCTTTGAGGCCAAATGATTCAGCTTGCGCAGTTTTTTCAAGCGGGGTTGTGAAAAAATTAATTAAGCAAGATCCGTGCAGGATTTCTTGCACGGATCTTGCACGTCGGTCTTGCAAATTTCTTGCACAGGTTTGAACGCCATAATTACAGTGCAACCAGATACATAGTTGTCAAGAAAAGAAATTGATTGCAAGGTAGATTGCAAGAGATATCATGGTCAAAGGAAGTCGACTGTGACTCTATATGCATGTAACTCTTACAGCAAGTTGCTTACATCTTTTGAACAAGACTCTGTCTGTCAAGTGACAGCAGCTCAGAGTGAGCTAGACCGTTGGAGAAATATCTCCATACAGTGATGAAGCACACTCCTCAGAGTCCTCCCCAGGCATTTCTGATGGAGATGGGTGGCTGAACTGACAAAAACCCGCGGACTGACTATGGGGCGCGCCCCTCCAGATTCTGAAGCTTTGGGGTACGATGGACGAGAGAGGAGGGTGGAGGACAAACCTCAAACCCCAAACCTCAAACCCGGTACAGACTGTACAGCTTTTTCAGTACAGAGCCCAAGATCCATCAATAGATCAACTTCACTCGTATGTACCTTCTCTTACTCAACTCAGCTCACAATCCCAACCTCGCTATATAGAAGATGTTCATTTGGAATCACATTTCACTCAAATGCAATCGATTTATAGAACATCCGAAACGCCGGACGGTAACGATCAATTAAAGGTAGGCTTTGGACTTTCTTAACTGCTGATTTTCGGGCTCAAAGTACTTTTTCACTTGGTTTTGTGCTAGGGCTCAGGAATCAGGATCGGGATCTGTCAGGATCGGCTAAAGAAAACTTGAATACATAGATCATGTCACTCTTCATTAACTTCATAATAAAACAGAAGAAGAAAACTTTGAGATATCGCGATGGCGATGCCTGTCTCAGCCAATAAAATCAGGGGCTTTAATCTGGGTCGTTTTCATTCAATCAGTACGCATAGGACATTTTTCAGCTGGTTTTGAATGAGATACTATAGTTTGATGGTCGCTCTATTTCTGTATGTCATTGATTAATCTTTGTTATCAAATCACTTTTTGTTATCGATGAATTTGTAATTATAAAACCACGACTTATCTTACTACTTCGAGTTGATCAGCGTAATACATACCATTCAACCACAAGCATTACACACAAGATTTTGCATCTTTTTCTTCATGTTTGATCAATTGGTGTTCCCAACTATCTCATGATGAAAAGGTTATGTTTGCGAGTACAAAGTTTGTTTCTAGAATAGGTAACGAGTCCGAAATTTAGTTTGCAACATTGGTGGTCAAAGAGGGAGCAAAGGTAATCTTGTAAGAGGTGGTCAGTGATCAGGGATGTAATTACCAGCGTGTGTGGGCATGGATCACACTAAATTATTCTTATGGCTGAACAAGACCCCTCTGAAATGAATATGGTAACAAATCATTTGAATGCCATAGACCAGCCAATACTTGAGCTGTGTCCAAATAATCAAAGGTTCAGTGATCTGTTCTCAAAATCGGTTTTATGGTGAGGGTGGGCAAGGGTAAGTTGTGTATTGAAGAGTTGTAAGTACAGCCAGCCTGTATATGGACAGTCTGTACAGGCTGTACCGGGTTTGAGGTTTGGGGTTTGAGGTTTGTCCTCCACCCTCCTCTCTCGTCCATCGTATTGGGGCGCCTCCGGGCACGCTCGCGCCTCGGCGTCACTTTCTCGCACACTTCGCGCTGCGCCCACAACATGAGTTTTGAGGCGCTGATCAGTGGCTCCGAGGCCGACCGCGATGCCACCATTGCTGAGCTCTGAGTCGTCTCTGCCTTCAAGTTCTCCGCGTTGATGATCATTCGCCTCGATAGATCAACTTGGCCATGTCATTAAGTAACCGGGTTCATAACCTTTTAACGATTGCTGGTAGTGATTCCAGTGGTGGTGCCGGTATACAAGCAGGTGCAGTGATACTTCTTCATCTTCATCCTTTTCCTACACGATACAGATGCTCATAACTCATTGGATGCGCTCTAGATTTGAAGACTTTCAATAGTCTCCAGACATATGGACTCTCTGTCATCAGTCAGTTCCTCCCCGGAAGCCGTAATGTTACGACGACTTGCGCTCAAACTTGAATTCCTGTTCGACTCTAAAAGCCGCGGTGACCTCTCAAAATACCCAGGGCGTGACTGGCGTCGAGTCGATCAGCACCTCGATGGTATACAAACAAATTGAGGCTGTTGGTCTGGATATAAATATCGATGCTATTAAAACAGGTCGGCTTGAGCTCACCTTTGTCATGCTTTTCCTCGCCTGGATGCTGAAAATCATGGCAACCGATGTGCAATTCTCGACTTGGTACCAAAAGGCATGCTTCACAGCTCCGAAATCATCGATGCAGTGCATAGGGGTTTGATGCGGCTTTATCCGGATTCGGCTTCAAGACCAATTCTAGTCATAGACCCTGTGATGGTCTCAACCTCCGGCCATCATCTTCTTCAGCCGGATGCAGTCGAAACATTATCTAAATTGCTTCTACCACTTGCAACCCTTGTGACACCGAACGTGGATGAGGCGATAATTCTTTCTGGGTGGCGAAATACGAACCGAAAGATATCCACCCTGGAAGACATGAAAGCATGTGCCAAGATCATTGGAAAATCTGGTCCGAGAAGGGTACTCATCACTGGAGGTCATTTTTTGCCTGAGGACCCGATGATAACCGATGTGTTATATGAGTCTGATATCGATGCATTCCAGGTATTTTGTCATCCGTCAGTCTACCGATAACTCCCACAACTTACAAGTCAGGCAATTGATCGTGCTGTATCGATTTCAGGAGGATCGACACTCGCAACACTCATGGAACAGGCTGTACACTATCAGCCGCCCTCACTGTGTACCTGGCAAAGGGGTGGACTAGTCAGTTACATTGCTTCGCGCGTCTCTCTATCTATACGGATACGGAGAGCCAGTTGAAAAGTCTGATTTTCTACACGCGGGATTGCAGTCGCAGCAGCAGTTGATTGCGCGATAAAATTTGTGGCGGACGCAATGGCATTTTCTTTTGTGATCGGAAAGGGATCTGGACCACTTAACCATCACCACAATATCATCCAACGTCCACTATCTTTGTATGTATGTTTTTTTGATCATCGCCGATTATACATGGCTCATGGGAAAGAGGACACTCGCAGGCCCAATAAACATACCCCATACCCATTTACGTCGAGCCTTGTTGAGGCATGCCGCGATCAATGGACTACCTTTACCTCGACCCACAAATTTCTCCAAGGCATCAAGGACGGAACACTTCCTAAAGAGTGTTTCAAGTATTTTTTACAACAAGATTACGTAGGTCGCTCGAACAAGGCCAATTCGCTCCTATATGAGCTGTTCGACCCTCGCTGATTTAACCGCATTGGAATACTCTACTTTATTCAGATCTTTTTGACGCACTATGCTCGTATCCATTCCCTCATGGGGTTTAAATGTGATTCCATGCAAGAGATTCAAGCCACTGCCAACATTGTACATCACATAGCCGAAGAAAGTAAGCTGCATATAGATGTACGTCTGCTCTTAGCATCATTCTCGTATATCAAGGACAACTCTGACTGATCGTCTTGGAGACAGATATGTAAAGCATGGGGACTTTCGGAAGATGACTTTCATCGCACCCAAGAGTCAAATCACACGATAGCCTACACTCGGGTATCAATTTTTTTAACCTGTTCATACATTTGGCATATAGTTGATGGATGGTTCCACTGTACATTGTAGTATGTGATGGATGTAGGCTTTAGCAAGTCACTATTGCACCTACGCGTGGCGACTGCACCTTGTCTGTTAGGGTATGGTGAGATGGGTCTAAATCTGCTTCAAGACCCTGCTACAGTCAAGGAAGGAAATCCGTATTGGGATTGGATCAACAATTATGCAGGTGAAAGATTTCAAAATGCTGTGAAGATGGGTCGCGATCTGTTAGAACATTCTGTCAAGGAAGATGTTCCCTCTGCTAACACCTTCACTGAATTGCGTGGTATCTTCACAAAAGTTGATCTCATTCTTATCTGATCTGTTCTCAAAGTTACAAAAACTCATCCTCTTTCTCTACACAGGCGGTCGCGCTCGAAATCGATTTTTGGCAGATGGGGCTTGACTGTTCATAGATCAACATCGGCAGAGTTTGATCTGAAGTCCTGAGGTTCCGACTTGGCTATTTATTCTTGAATCATTTTCGGGACTGCTTTGGTGGGTTTCCCCGGCCGCTGATAGTTGAACCAGACGGCACCCAGAAATGCTTTGTCCGAAGAAGATCGATGGCCCTCACAAAGGTACTTTAGTGCTTTGGCGTCTATGGTCTATGGTACATGGGCAACATCTTGACCAGCTTGTGATCGATTTGTACATGAAACAAAATTTGGGAGGGGTGATGCTTAGATGGCTCAACTCCAACGGCTTTTGACTGTTATGTGCACGCCAGGACTGTCAATCGGGCTTCAGAGCGGACCTAGAGATGCTCCGCAGCTTGCTAAGAACCCAGATTTGCGACTGCTGCTGATGAAACCCGAATTAACGAATTGCGAGCTGATTTGAACAACTCCAGATCCAAAGAACGCGTCGGATATGGAACTGCGCGAGGACTCGTTGAACGCATCTATGCCAAACCCCCAAATGTGCTCTGAGTCTACATAGCCTAAATAACCCAAGTGTGAAGTGACCATGCCGCCGCTCGGGCCATTTTTCACCCAGCTTAACAGACTCATTGAAAGTTGAAGCTGCGAGTGCAAAGTCTTGGCTTTCGCCTGCAAAAGCTATGCAGAGGGTAATTGTAAACAGTTGGAATATTCCACCAAAGTAGGTATCCACTCACTCGCTCAGATTCAATTTTTGACTTTGCATTCAAGCTCAAGCGCAACTAACGCCACCAGACAGACTGTCACCAAACCAGACACTGGTCAGGTTATTTTCGGAGCACCTTCATCATCGAAATTAATTGGGTCTCCACTGGTCGGTCCGAGAACAAAACTTGAAGTGAATGCTCAACGACGCTCTCAGGCCAAAGATGCTGTCCTCACCACCACGCAGTCAAACGAAATCCCTTCAAAAGCGGAGCTCAATCTTGAATTTGAGCAAGTTATCTGATCTCACCGTAATTAACGTTAATTCGCACTCGCATACATTCTTTTCTGCTGCGTCCAGTGTACTATTTATTCCACATTCATTCGCAACACTCTCTTGCCATAATTCCCTATTTTGTTAACTACATCCTGATACGCCATTACTTCTGCCCGGATACCTTCATTATTTTCATTTTGCCCCCTTTAACTCAACTGCATCACATTTGATCACATTTGCGGCTTTAAACTATGTTCTCCTCAATGTTCCTATCATCTTTGATATGTCTACATGTCCTTTTGATACCCAATCATACTGTGCAGGCTGGCGTTCACGCCAACAAGTACGGTGCGGGGCAAATTGACAACAGTCGAAACCAACACTCAATGATGGTATGGAAAACCCCCTTTGCTGCCTCTAACTCACTTCGGCTCACTGACTCATGCCTTTCCTAATGGTGTAGCAAGCTTGTGCTCATCCTCAGGGGGACTTTTACTTGCAAAACTCTGCTACTAAAGCATGGCTTTCGTATCACCGGAATCCACAAACGATCCAACCTACGATTCAATCCAAGCGATCAGTTATCACACTTTCCAATTATGGACCGGGTACTCGTGTTAAGCCTCGAGCAAGTAACAACAAGTGTCTTGCTTCTCAATTTCACAGCGAAACGGGAGTAGACTGGGCAGCTACTATGTAAGATGACCCGCCTGTTTCCATCTCCGTGCGAAACCTCAATGTGTTGTTTTTGCTCCTCCTCAGGTATGTATGCTCAACTTCCCATACAAAAAAAGTCGACGCAGGAAACCCAACAAACAAACAGCAATGGCTCTTTATTCCCGTACACAACCGCCGTGATACATATTATCTTGTTGCTGTAGATCACTTGAGTAAGCTTTTGTTGAAAATTTGTCTCACAGCCGATTAGCACATTGACTTCAGGGCATCACAGACGATATGCAAACTCGAGCTTTGTCTTCACGCACACTGCAAACTGCCGGAGGATACACTTCGACTTCAATCGACCTTTTTAACACTGTACGTTATCCAACACCTATCTTCATTATAAAAAATCGCTTGACTTTCAGCTTTACTCACCTCTTCTATCAACCACCAACGCATAACAGAGAGACACAACCCAAATGTGGAACCTCGTCAAAGCTTAGATTCGGCTCTCGACCAAGGGTGTATAATCTTGAATCCTGGTGTATAACCCACATACTTTTACATACTGAACATGTACCGCAAGATTCTTTTACCATTTTATCGCGTTCCCTAGGGCATCGCAACATCATGTATGACATATACCACTATCACTTTCATTATTTCCATTTTCACTCTTTCTTCTTACACATAGCATTTTCACATTGTATTCACCAAGACTGGATCTTTTGCTGTAAAGAAAAACATTTAGGCTTACAGACTCGAAGCTTTCAAGACAACGACCACAAGTACCCATGAATTTGATCTTGACTGAAAGAATTCAATCCGATCCTGCCTTTTACATCTTGGTGTATTGAAATTTTTGCAAGGCAAATTTCATTGAAAAGACCAAACTTGATCCCAATGAACATTTTTCATATTTCCTCGCACTGCTGTTCCATGCAGTGTGCCAACCTGATCTTATCTCCATGATGGAGAGTGGCAGAGCATTTGAGCAGCACCGCGGCTCCCTTACTATAACTTTAAGTCACTGGCATCCCAGTGTATCCAAGTAAGTTGAAAATGTTTTGAATTTGTCGTGAATACAACATTCAACTTATATGCTGCAGCATTTAGCAAGGCTTTGGATATATAATGACCAGTTATCAGATATATCTTGACTGGTCATTTTGACAAATGTCAACATGATGATGTATGAGCAGCCTGCTAAGACAATTTGTGTAAGTGATCTCTTTTGGTTTCAATGGGCTGGCCGTGAATTGGAAGGAACAGCAGAAGGAATGTGAGTGCCATCAATAGCACCACACCTGATCTGCTCTGCTGCAATCCACTTTTTTGGCCAATTGTAACAGTACATCAACCCGCCACAGGTACATCCAATCTTGCTCCACTCAATATTCAGGCCCACTACATAATGAAGGTAGTACTGTGGGGTCAAGAGCCCCTTGTGCTCCACTTACAACTTTTACTGTCCTCATGGGAGGCAGTGTGATGAACTATCCACATTTTTTTACTAGAAATGGGCATCAAAAGTAATAAATACACAAAGAGCAATATGAAAGCAGAAATCAAAAACAGGCAGCGGTGCTTTTTTCCAGAGATAAGAAAAGTACAGAAACTTATCAGACAAGTGAAGATAATCAAAGAGATATAAAAAGGTAAGAAACTTTTCAAACAAGAGTAGAAGAAACAGAAACATAATCAAAGAAAAGGATGCAGAGAAATGGAGACCAGGAATGAAATAAGATACTTGAGGAAACTCAAGCACAACCAACATCTAGAAAGTACAATTTCAAAAAGTGATGAAGAAAACCCTATAAGAGACATAGACAATTTAAGAATCTAATCAGCCTTCCTTTTCTTGGTCATATTGGCTGCAAAAGATGACATGTAAGCAATTGCATCAGCAAATCAGCCCAATGATTATACAGGAATGTGCAAATGCAGCCATTGTCTGTATCCAACAGAGCATTGGATAGTCCTAGGTTTCAAAGACCCGTGTGCAGATCCAGCAATGTTGGCCACAGAAGAGAATGTGTGTTCAACAAAGCACAAGATAGCTGAGATTGAAAGCTAATCTTGGGCAATTGTGGCCAGAACAGGGAATCTAGCTTCATCTTCCTAATGAAAGCAAAGGTTCAATCAATTTCAATTGCTGAGATTGCGAATTAGGAAGAAAACTTCCCTGTCACCAAGTGACTTTTGATTGGCCAGGAGGACCCATGCCTTGTAGATAGATCTCAAGCATGGACAATAGGATCAATTTAGAAAGTAGCCAACAAGGTGCAGATGTCAAAGTGATCAAAAGTGTTACTGGAGCTTGGTAGATTGGGAGGAGGTGTCAAAGTAGGAGTTACTGGCCAAGCAGCCAATGCACCTTGAAATGCTTTTTCAATTAGTTCCTGAGCCCTCTAAGCATCTTCACAATAGTGGAGGTCAAAGAAACTAAGCCAACACTTTAGATTCAATACTGTAGCCAGTACAGTCACGTCAAATGATATTGCATCTTCTTGATAGCCAGAAAGTTTGGCAAGCATGATATCAATCATTTTGATCAAGCTGGGGAAGTTGGAGGTATTGCTTAATTGGTGAAGCACTTTGGTCACATGCAGGTACTCAGCCAGCGGGACTGAGCTCAATGCAAGATCACCCTTCATTTGTTTGGTGGAGAAGAGGAGTACCTGAATATTTACATGAAGTATTTGTGTTAGTGAAATTATCTATCATGGATATTAGAGATAGCAAAAAATAGGACACTTACTTGCAAAACCTTGCATAGCTACTCTACATCATCCCCTTCCCTCATTGCCATCATCACACATTGACTTTTCTTCTGATCAGCAATGAGGATTGAATGAATGTCCTATAAGATGAAATTGTGAGTTGATGATAAATATAAAATAAAAGATTGAACAGACTCACATCTTGAGTAGCAACCAGGTTTCAAAAAATTGCTAAGTCAATGTTCCAGCGCACGCCCCATCCGGAAATAGGGGCAGGCCCTTCAGACCCTATCTGAGCTGCTTGAGTTTTGAATTGTCCCGGAAATGTTTGGGTTACATCACGAGGTAAGTGAAATGTGGCAGAGTGGTTTGAGAGTTGTTATTTTCACAGTCTTGTTTTTGATTCAAAAAAATTTGGCTGATACCGGTTCAAACTTGTGGCTATCACAAATTTGTTACCTGATGGGGCATGGGAACAATTCCAGCCTTTGCACTGTTCCAGTGACATGCAGAAATGATGTATTTGATATGGTCCCATCTTGGGATGTTTACAACCAGTTTCACTGATAGGCACAACTGTGAAAAGGATAATTCGACAAGGACTCAGAATCCTGCCCCCAAACATCAAAATAACCTATATCACTCTCTTCACACCATTGATGCAAAGTGCTGATCCTGTGGATGAGGGGTCACAGTGACAGTGGTGATGTTTCACAGAACACAAGGGGGATTAAATGCAGGGTCAGAGCAACCTGGCACCTGCAGCATCACCTCTTTGCATGTAGTGTTGGCCTATATAGAGGGGCATACTCAAATTGGTGCTTTCATCTGTTTGATTTAATTTCTCTTTTTTGAACTTTGTGATTTTTTTGCAATTCATTTTTCTGACAATATGCTGATTGATCCTAACCCTTTAACTTCACTCTCATCAACCACTTCTTCCCAAATAGTATGTCCCATAAATCAAAACTTGTTAAACAATTACAAATCTGTTCAAAATTCTCAAATCCCTTCAAATAATGATGAAATAAGATCTAATTTAGAATTTGAATTAATCAAAGGAATTCATCTATCTAATTTATACAAAAAAGAATCAGAAGAGCCTTTTAGTGTAGAAGCAGAGTCTGGCCAAGTTTTAGATAAAGATAAAGGTTTCGCTTCTCAAAACTCATCTATCCTTCCTTTCAAAATCTCAAATGATCTCATTTATCTGAAACAAATCCTTCTGATTTGTTTTATACATGGACTCAAACCTTATTTAACAATACTAAAGTTGTTATATCCCCTCATGATGTAAAAAACTCAATTGAATCTTTTTGTTAATTTTCTGTTTCTTGCAGAATTTCCATCTATACTCCAGTATCTAAATGTAAATAGCTCCTACACAGATTAATCAACCAATTTCATTGATGAAACCTATAAAAATAGTCATGTTACACAACCACAAGAGCAGTGATCAGAATGGTTTTCAGAAAGTAGTGGATTGAATTACACTAACTGAACCTTTGAATCTTGTGACAAGTGGTGTCAGGGTGGCAACAAGTATTACATATGAGGTGAACTAGTCAAGCAGCTCATACTACAGTCCTGAATTGCTATTCTGCTACTTACATGGAATAGGTACAATTGTTTTCTACAAGATGTGATCATAGAAAATTGATACTATCAGTGATTGATATTAATACAATTTCAACACTAGGGAAATCTTGAAACTGCAGGCCCACTGTTGGTTCACAAATGGTGGCAGGTCAAAGCTGAGCCTTAGTTTAATCTCAGAAACTCAAAGGTTTAAGAGAAGCTTCAGACAGGAATCTGCAGTGATCTTGCCAACAAGAATGTAGCAAAACCTGGGTCCTTGACCAGAAGAGACAAAGAGAATAGACTAGCCGGTAATTTTTGTGGGTAGGATTCTTTGATGGGGTGTGAGTCAGAAAGTTTGTCCTTATCTTCTGCTTATTTAATTCCTTCCTCAGGTTTTCCTGATTTCTGTTCTTTTCAAACTTGAACCTTTGAAACTAGGTCTCTAAGTTGTATTTCTATATATTACAATGTTGAATCTTTTTGATACTAGATTCTAATGGTGTCTTATTGTTTTTGATAATATTGAATATTTTATTTAATTATATTGTTTTATAGTGTATATTTATAATTGAAGTACTTTTGGTGCTTTCATGAGTACTCAAGTGCTGCCAATATGTTGGTTTTATAATCAAACTAGTTTCATCAACTGTAACACAATCTCTGTTCTTTATAATTGAAGGAGTTTTTACATTATCCACTTTTTGGGTCTTCTGTCAAGGGGAACTTGGGGATTCTCTATCAATTGATATCTGATCAGGTGGTGGATTTGCTTGGTTGCTTGTGAGTTTTTAGTGCTTTTGATACATGATCCGGGGCAATCAAGAGGTAGATCAAGTTTCAATGCATTTTTCACAGCAACCTCTAAGGCAGTTCCAGAAAGAATACTGAGAAAAACTTCTGAGATGATCTCCATTAAGCATTGGACTATCTACATATGTGGGTGCTCCACCTGTGATTCCCATTTCTAAAGCTTTCTGACATCAGAATGTTTCCGACTCTTTACAAGTTTTTTATAGAATGTGTTACTTTTTTTGAAGTCCTCCTGCTAGTTTGTTTGTGTATATTTCTCTCTTTTTCTTGTGCATAATGAAAAAATGTGAATAGTATCAATCACCTCATGTTGCTGTCTATGCTGAGGATTTGACAAAGCACAGCGCAAGCTGTTTAAAAATCCACCACACTGCCTTGCTCATGTAGCGCTTCAGTTTCAAAAGTGGAGCATTGGCAGAGCTACATGTAATCAGGATCACGATGTGATCTCTTAAAGCACATTACACATAGAGATGCTTTCTTACTCAAATGCACATTATTGATTTTCTTCTCTTACTCATCATGATGCCTCATTGAGTTCGTCAGGTTTACGTATATATAGAACAATACTACCATCATGTTGTTCTCTCTTTCCCTATTGAACTCAAACTTTTTGTGTGTTACAATCTTCTTCACAGATGGTGATTCCATT